GGACGCACCTCCCCCGCCTCCACCACCGCCGCCGCGGCGCACGGCCCGGCCAGCTGCAGCTGCAGCAGGCGCGCCGCGGGCGGCGCAGCGGCCGCCGCGGGCGGCGCGAACAGCGAGAGCGCTGCACCCGGCAGCCGGGAGGCCGCCACGTGGCACGTCGCCACCACCACCACCCCCACGTTCGGCGGCGCCTGCCGCAGCAGCTGCTCGAAGACCGCCCACGCCGGGCTCGCCGCCGCCACCCTGCAGCCGCCCCCGCCCACCTCCTCGCCCCCTGCATTCTCCTCCTCCTGCTCCTGATCCTCGCCCCAAGGCTCCCTTGCTTCAAACGCGCCCCCAGCCCACATCTCAATGCGCGGCGCATACAGGACCACCACCTGGTCACTGCCGGCCCGCCCAAACGCCTGCGCGACGACCGACGTCAGGCCAGACACAGCGTCCCCATGCCCACGCAGCAGCAGGCCCGGCAGCGCGAGGCTGTGCACCGCCGCGCCCCCGCGCCGCAGCAGCGCCAGCAGCGCGCGCGCGGCCGGCTCCTGGCCGGCGGCGGGCGCGCCATCGAGCAGCAGGTGACAGGGCACGCGCGAGCGGGGGCAGGGGCCGGCGGCGGCGCCGCCGGCAGGGGCGCTGCTGCCAGCCTCACATGGGGTTGCGTCTGGGAGTTGCTCCACCGCGCCGGCCTCTGACATCAGGCGTTCAAGCTCACTTATAGCAGCGTCGCCTGGCTGGGCGGCCCCCGAACCAACAGCTGAAGCGGCAACGGCCAGCTGTGTTGTCAGCGTTGGCACGCAGCCGCTCGCCGCCAGTACGTGCAGCGCGCGCGCCAGCGTCGGCAGCAGCAGCGGCGCCAGCCGCCGGGGCAGCGGGGCACCGCCCTCCGCGGCGAGAGAGGCCGCCACGTCGCGCTTGCTGCAGGGGGGCGGCGCCGCCGCCAGCGCGGCCCACCAGTCGCGCGGCGCGACCTCGAGAGTCGCCACCCAGGACGGCACCGCCGCCGCCGCCCCTGGCGCTATCGCTGGCGCTGCCCCAGCTGCCCCCTGCGGCGGGGTTGTCGGGGACACGGCTGCGCCTGCACTTGCGCCTGCGTTTGCGCTTGATGAAGGGCGCGTGGGCCCTTGGCTCGAAGCGGCTGGGGTCGGACGCGCCTGGGCGAGATCGTCGTCTCGATCGCCTCCGCGCGCGGCCTCCGCAACCCCTGCTCCCAGTGAAACGCCTGCACCTCCTGGGAGCGGCGACGCCAGGCCATCATCGGCGCCTATGCCCCCTGCCACATTCGTGCCGAGGCCCTGTTCGCCAGCCTCGCCGCCAGCTGGCTGCCCTGGCCCCTCTGCCTGCTGCTGCTCCTGCTGCTCCTCCTCCTGCTGCTGCTGCTTCTGCTGCTGCTGCTGCTGCTCCTGCTCCTGCTGCTGCCGCTGCTCCGGCGGGCTCTGCTGGGGCGTCACATCCCCCAAAGCCGATCCCTCCTGGGGAGCCAGCAGCTCGGAGATGCACTGGTTGAGGGCCCCCAGAAACACGGGCCGCGCCGGCGTAAATCCCGGGCTCAGCGCAGCAAACCCCTGCCGCTGGCCGCCGCCCTGGCTGGATGCTGACGACAAGGGGGACGGCCCAGTCGAGCCGCGGGCCGCGCCGGCGCCGCCGCCGGTGGTGGGGGGCGCGTCCGGCGGGCTCGGGCGTGGCTGGGGCTGGATTGATGGCTGCTGCTGCTGCTGCGACGGGGGCCGCGGCTGCTGCTGCTGCAGGTGCTGCTGCTGCTGCGGCTGCTGCTGCTGCTGCTGCTGCTGCTGCTGCAGGTGCTGGTGCTGCGGCGGGGTGGATGGGGAGTGCTCGCTCAGGCCGAGCGCTGTGGCCTGCAGCCTGTGCTGCTGCATGGCACCAAGCTGCTGCTGCTGCTGCTGCTGCTGCTGTTGGTTCAAGGCGGCCTCCACAGCGTTAGGTGCGGTCCGCCGCACCGCTGTCAGCACTGCCGACGAGCAGAGGGCCTGCAAATCAGCTCCTGGCAGGGTGGAAAGGGCGGGCGGTGAACAGGATGCGGTCAGCGGAGTACGACACAGAAAGGAGGAAGCAAGCGGGACGCACAACAGTGCAGCCGCGGGCGCCGCTGCGAAGGTGGTGACCCAAGCAGCTGAAGCTCACGCAGTCTTGCCACAGGACGAGCCCTGCAGAAGCCCTACATGCATTCCATTGAATCGATCCCGCCACCCGGCTCGCACCCGCAAAGCCCTCCGTGGCCGCCGCGAGCCGCCGCAGCAGCGCTGCAGCCGGGGCCGGCGCCCACGCGCGCGTCAGGACCCGCAGGATGGCCTCCCTGTCGTCGGCGGAGGGCAGCCCAAAGTAGACCTCCCGGTCAAAGCGCCCGGGACGCCGCAGCGCCGGGTCGATCGAGTCGGGCCTGTCGAGATCATGGCGCAGTTTCGACGGGGGATTGACCAAGGGTTGACCAGACCGAAACACGAGCCAAAGGCGACAGCAAAGGCTGCTGCGATCGCCTTTGGGATCGGACCCACAGCGGCATGCGTAAACTTCAAGTCAGCCTACGAGCCGACCGCCGAATGGGCCGCCGCGACCGGGGACTGGCGCGCCCGCCTGCACTCAAGCGCACACACGGAGAACCCCACGCGCGTGTGCACACCTGTTGGTCACCCCGACCACCAGCACCTGCCCCCTGTCCTCCAGGCCGTCCATGAGCGCGAGCAGGGTGGACACCACGCTCGCGTAGATTTGGTCGGAGCCGCCGGCGCGCGCGGCGCGCGCGGGCGCGAGGGCGTCGAGCTCGTCCAGGAATATGATGCTGGGGGCCGCCTCCGCGGCCTGGGTGGTGTGGGGGCGAGGGGGCGCGCGCGCGCGTGCAGGCGCGGCGGTTGTGGGTGGGGCCGAGTGCGCACACGCTCCAGAGCGCGTGGCTGTGGTGGGCGGGGGTGAATGCGTGCACGCTCGCGCGCGTGCGGCGGTGGTAGGCGGGGGAGAGTATTCGCGCGCGCGTGCATGCCGCAATGGTACATGGTCTGGCGTGTTCGTGGGTTGAGGGTCCACGGGCGGAGGCGGCGGCGCCGGGGGTATGTGAGAAGAGGTGGCGTCGGCCCCACAGGCTGCAAATGATATGTGATTGGGTAGCCGGGGCTCGAGCCGCCTGCGCTCTCGCAGCCAGGCTGTGATTCAGGCGCGCGCGCCGTCCCCATGCGGCCGCCCTTGTCCTCGCCAACGTCGCAGGCACCGCGGCGGTCACAAGAACCACGCATGCCACCAGACCAGCCTGCCGGACTCGCCGACCGTGCACCCGCTTCGTGACCACCGGCCGGCCACCGATCCCCAGCCGGTCGCACCTGCTGGAACAGCAGCCTCAGCGCGCGCTCCGCATCGCCGGCGTACTTGCCCAGGCAGTCCGCCCCCTTGCGCGCAAACAGCGCCACGGGCCGCGGCGCGCGCCGCGCGCACTCGCCGGCCAGCGCGCGGACGACGGCCGTCTTGCCAGTGCCTGGGGCGCCATACAGCAGGATGCCCCTGGTGCGATGGGAGCGTTGGTGAACCGCCGAGGAGCGCGCCGGTCGCCGGTCAGCGCTCGCGGCCCCTCAGGTTCCGCACACGAGTGTTCGCGGGTGCGGCATTCCAGCAAGCCAGGGTGGTGCGCGCCTTAGCGGCAGCCCCATAGTGCCACCCCCCGCGTGATGCAGCGACCCGTGCCTCAAAAACAACACACCCACCCTCCCTGAGGGATCTGGCCTAGTCACCTGGGGGCGACTATCCCCAGCTGACGCAGCAGCTCCGGCTGGCTTAGCGGCAGCAGCGCCATCTCTCTGAGCGCCCGCTTCACGTCCCCCAGGCCCCCGATCGACGCAAACCCCTCTGACGGCGGCACGAACCGCGGCTGTTGCTGCTGCTGCTGCTGCTGCTGCTGGTGCTGCCGCTGCTGGTCGGCCGCCCCTAATGAAGGCAGGCTCGCCAGCGAAGACGCCGTCGCCATCGACGCGGCCCTCGCCGGCGGCAGCCCGGGCCCCAGCCCCCGCGGTGCCGCTGCAGGGGCCCCGCCCGCCGCCGCCACCGCGGCGGCGCCCTTCGGGCCCGGCGGCGGCGCCGCAAGCACCACGGGCGCCAGCCGCGCGAGGTCCTTGGCCAGGCGGCGGCGCTCCTTGCGCGCAAACGCCTGCTCGTCGTCGCTCGACCACGCGCGCGCCGCCTCGAGCTCCGCGCGCAGCCGGTCGCGCGCGGCGCGCGCGCGCGCGAGGTGGTCGGACACGAGCTCGGGGTCGACGCGGCGGCGCTTTGCGGGGCCCGCGCCGCTGGGGCGGCGGGGCGGACGGGCGGCGTGAGGGGCGGTGGCGGGGCGCTCGGCATGGGCGCGCTGGGGCGACTGTCGCTGCTGCTGCTGCTGCTGCTGCCGTGGCGCGGCGTGCGGCCCTGGCCCCGGCTGCTGTCCGGCCTGCAGCTCTGGCTGCGACGGGCGCCCCTCGCCGGCGTCGCCGTCGCCGCCGTCATGACGCTGCTGAAAGTGAGCCTGAGAGGGCGCGTGCTGCCACCTCCACTGGTCCAGCGCGCTAGGCGGCCTGCACAGCACAGTTCGGCACAGCGCCCTCGTCATTGTGAGACGACGTATGCAAGGTGCTGGTGCTACACTGATGACTGCCGTCCCACACGCTCTGCTGCACGCTGCGCACTTCCCGCTGCGCGAAGCGCGGGCGGCAGCTCAAGAGCGGCCCCACTCGCGACCGCACCGTGGGCACTCACCAAGCGTCCAAGGCGCCCGCACCCCCAGCACCCCCAGCGCCCGCCGCGCCCTGCTCGTGGCTGAACAGCGGCGCGTGCTCCGGGCAGGCCACGTGATAGTTGTGGTCGTTCAGGCGGCAGCCGGCGCGGCGCGCGCAGGGCAGGTGGTACGTCCGGGGGCATCGGGAGATGCGGCAGCCCAGCGTCGCCCCCGGCTGGTCGCAGGCGGCGCAGCTGCAGGGAGGGGCGCCGTGTGAATAGTGGGTTTGCAGAGCCGCTTGCGATCGGGGACGGCGGTGCGGGCGAGGGGCGAGAGCATACTTTCGGTGCCGGGGGGCCACGCAGGATGAGCAGTAGGCGTGGCGGCATGCGCTCACCGCATCTGTCTGCCACGCCGGATGGCCTGGGAGACGCCTTTGAGCAGCCACAGCCGCTCGGCGTCTGGCTGCCACACCTGCGGGGTTTGGAATGGCGATGCCCCAGATGAGGGTTGACACAAATCCATGCCGGCTGAGCTTGCCGGCACAATGCTGCCGCACAACGCCACGCTGTATGGGCCAAAGCAGGACCCTTGACCCGCCTGCATGATGAAAAGCACACCTCACAGCTCCAGAGAGCGCAGTCTCGATGGAAGTAATCCCCGTCGCACGTCGGCCCGATGATGGCGCCAGTTGGGCCTCGCAGCGGCTGCGTGCTGCCGCAAAGCGCGCACGCCGCCGGAGAAGCATGGCCCCACATGGTAGCTGCGTAAGCTGAGTAGAGGTGAGATGCATGTGAGTTCCGCTAGCTCTCAATCGACATGTACCCAGCTCTATATAAGATTACGGCTAGCAGATCCCGGTCAGATCACACATTTGAGCCGCGGTAGGTGTAAAAAAATTTTAATTTCCTTGATATGTGCCAGCTTTCAAAGAAGTAGATCCCTAATGCAACTGAGAAGTGAACAGATCACACATGACATGGCGCTTCGACGAAATTCCAGCTTGGCGCTTCGGCCCCGTAAGTAAAGTAGGCGCATCACACGTATTGCTGTGCCGGTAAATTTTCCAGATGTTGACACCGCCGAGCACAATTGAGGCTGTGCATGCTGTTGGTTCATTGGTGTGGGTGATGACGCTCTCTTTTGACTGATTGACTGCATGCCGTTTTCGGACGGCAGGGGGGGCTGTCAGTCAGAGCCGGCGGCGGGGCGTGCGGAGGGCCGATGGGGTCCAACACT